GGCCTGGCTGATAGAGCAAGACTCCATCTCAAAAAAAAAAAGAAAAAAGAAAAAAATAGTTATTGGCCCCACTCCCAGAATTTCAGATTCAATAAGTATGGGTTGAGCTGGAAAATCTTGAGAACCACTCCCCTAAGGGGAAGTAGCTGAAAGCTTAGAAAGCAGGAAATGGTACGGGCAGGAGACAGGAGAGATCTGGGGAAAGCCAGGGAGGCAGGAAGGGGCAGCCAGAGAGGTGAGGCCTCTGCCAGATGGAAGAAAAAGTGCCAGATCAGACAGTAGCTCAATCTCAGTCTTTGGCAAATTACTTTTTCTGAGATAAAAAGGAGTAATTCTTTTAAAAACAGAAGCTACCACAGCTCACCCCATGTGAAATAATTTGAGTACCCCTGTAACTGTTTCAAAAATCGGATTAATAGCTGGGCACTGTGGGTCACACCTGTAATCCCAGCACTTTGGGAGGCTGAGGCGGGTGGATCATGAGGTCAGGCGTTCGAGACCAGCCTAGCCAACTTCGTGAAACCCTGTGTCTACTAAAAATACAAAAAATTAGCCAGGTGTGGTGGCAGGCACCTATAATCCCAACTACTTGGGAGGCTGAGGCAGGAGAATTGCTTGAACCTGGGAGACAGAGGTTGCAGTGGGCCAAGATTGCGCCACTGCACTCTAGCCTGCATTCCAGTGTGAGACTCCGTCTCAAAAAAAAAAAAAACTCATAATTTTAAAACTTCCAAAAAAAACTTCAGGGCCCAGATAGTTTCACTGGAGAATTCTACCAAAAGTGTAAAGAACACCAAATCTATACAGTCTTTTTCAGAATACACAGTAGGGGAATGTTTCCCGATTCATTTTATGAACCCTGACACCAAAACCAGATGAAGACGTTTTAAAGAAAGACAACTGCATACCAACATGTCCCAAAAATACATAGAAATCCTTATTAAAATAATAGTAAATAGGAATCTGCAATATATAGAAAGAATTGTATACCATGAGCAGGTGGGATGCAGTATTTGAAAACAATGTGCTCCAACATATTGACAGGCAGTGGTGGTGACCGCAAGGGGGCTCCACCGAGCAGTAATCAATGACCTGGGATGAAAATGGGGCCAAACAAATCTGAAGAAGCAGAAAAACTGGATTCTATACACATGGCTTTGGTTCAAACAAAATAAAGCTGTATACTCCACACAAACGTGGTGGCTGTTAGGTTGTACACCTAATGCTTGACAGAAAGAAAGGGCCACTGGAAGTGCAGGGACAAACAGGAGCAAGGTTACCTTGAGGCTCCAGGTGCTAAGAGGGACAGTCCAAGCAGAAAACCCATTCCCCAAAGTCACTGTCATCCCTAGAGCAGGGCGCAGGGGCAGAGAAAGACAGGAGACCCTCCAGTCAAGAAGTTGACAGCCAAAAGCTGGGGAAACCCATCCTGAAAGTTTTGCTTAGGGGCTCTGAGTTTAAACTTTGAACCACATCCTTATAAATTTGTATTTGAATTTGAAAACACTGACCTGACGCCTTTTAAAACCTATACCAAAGGTGGGGATAGGGTTTGATGACTCATCAAGCTCATCTCTGTGAAGTACTTGAACTAGCAAACCCTCTGTCCGCGACATATCTCCCGCAATGGAAAGGCTCGTGGCTGCCTCCGCTGTTCAGACAGTAAGGATTTTGGCTCTCTGCCTTGCCCGCATGGCCACAGCACTCACCGTTCTGAGTCCTAGTCCAAGCTGACAGCGTCTTCCTGTCCTACTGAGATAAAGCTCCAGCTGAAAGCTTGCTCTTGCTCTGAAATCTGCAGAAGTCCTGGGGAGTTCATCTCCTGAGACCAGCCCTTAGTCAATGAAGGATGCCAGTCAGAGGATAAAAACCCCAGGGTTCGTGCCAGTGGAAGGTATGGCTGGGGCTGTTCTTCACAAACTGTAACGTGCTCGTGAATCACCTAGGAATCTTAATAAAATTCAGACTCTAATTCAGTAGGTCTGAGTTGGAGCCTGAAATTCTGCATTTATAATTCTTTCTTTTTCTTTTCTTTTTTTTTTTTTTTTTCTTTTTTGAGATAGGGTCTCACTCTGTCACTCAGGTTGAAGTGCAGTGGCCCAATCACAGCTCACTGCAGCCTTGACTTGCTGGGCTCAAGCAATCCTCCCACCTCAGTCTCCTGAGTAGCTGGGACTGCAGGCATGTGTTACCTTTCCCGGCTAATTTTTAAATTTTTTTTTTAATAGAGACAGGGTCTCTCTATGTTACTCAGGCTGGTCTCAAATTCCTAGGAAGAAGTGATCCTCCTGCCTCTGCCTCTCAGAGTGCTGGGATTACAAGCATGAGCCAACACCCCCGGCCTGAGATTCTGCATTTTTTAAGAGGATCCCAGGTGAGGCTGAGGCTGCTTACCTGGAGACTACACTTTGATGCCCCTACCGGTGCTTTCTGCAATTTCCTCCCAAATAACCTGCCTGCTCTCAAATTCTTGTCAGTGGCTCCGTTTCTGGAGAAAGCGGTTTTTTTTTCTATCTTTCTACTTATATTCCAGGTTCCTTGTTCTTAATTTTCACCAAGACCAGCTACCTTACAATGTGACCCAAGGAAATCACTTCATTTCCTCATCTCTAGAATAAGAGTTTAGACTGTCCAGTTCCCCTTCCCACTCCAGCATTTTAAAGATTTTCTCATTATTCTAGTGATTATGGAACTTCCCACACTTTTTTGGATCAGCTTTCCAGCTCCTGTGTACAAACTGTTAAAATCAGACTGGCTTCACATTCTACTCATCTTCAAAAAATGTCTCTAAACACAAATGAAATTCGAAGACCTTTATTCAAGCATAATAGTAAAAATCCTTGACATCAGAGAGAAACAGAGATAACAAATGTTCATGCATGCAGATGACATTTTCATTGTAAAAGGAAGAAAGGGACCATTCAGAAAAACACAAGAATAGTAGTTCCAGCATGAGGCTATTAAAATTAGTATGAAACCAACAAAAGATATGAAACCATAATCTGAAGACATCTAGACAGGAGGTAATAAAGATAAGAAAACACAACCGTGAATATGTATGCCATGTCTGCTTTTTAAGCAAACATCTCTAGACAAACATACAAACATACACATGCTGTCCCTTTCAGGAAAATCATGTTGGAAACCCACTCTCTTACACTTATGCTTAAACATTTTTGAAATTTCTTTTTTCTTTCTTTTTTCCTTCTTCTTCTTTTTTTTTTTTTTTGAGACTCAGCTCAGTGCAACCTCTGCCTTTTTGGCTCAAGTGATCCTCCTCCCTCAGCCTCCCGAATAGCTGAGACCACAGGCACACACTACCACACCCAACTAATTCTTCGTATTTTTGGTAGAGAGAGGGTTTCACCATGTTGCTCATGCTGGTCTTGAACTCCTGAGCTCAAGCAATTTTACCTAACCTCAGCCTCCCAAAATGCTGCGATTATAGGCATGAACCACCACACCTGGCCTGAAATTTCTTTAGTTTATAAGAAACTAAGTATACAAGCATACACATAATTCAATATCACCACTTTAGTCACCACTTTTTTACCCAAAATAATACAACCGAGCCTAAATGCAAACTTTATTTCCAGTAATTTAATAAACTTCCCAAATATTAATACAGTTCACTCATGTAACTGTCAGCTATTGCTGCATAACAGACAACCCCCAAAATCACAGTGGCACACAAAAATAAGTAGTTATGTGTCATTCAAGAGTCTTCATGTCTGCTGGGTTGCTCTGCTTCAGGAGGTGAGTCCTCGGGTTGGCTGAGATGCCTCTGCAATACGTGAATTCAGTCTGGTACCCAGATGCTAATAGTCAGCTGTGTGACCTCACAGCAGAGGTCAGGTGTTCCTGAGAACAGAAACACAGGGTGATTCTAAAGGCAAGACTGGTGGTAGTTATACTGCTATCTCTCCACATTCCATTCTAAAGCAAGTCACATAGCCAAGTCCAAGATCAATAAATGGCTCTCACAGAGTTATTGGTATATGGAGTGAATAGATGATGAATATCAATTCTTAAATTATGATGATTTATCCATATGGAAGTCATTAAAAAGAAGGCATTTTCCAAGGAGGGCTGCCAAAAGCGATGTGAGTAATAACGTTATTGAAATAAGTGTATAGCTACATAATGGGACCATCTTGGAGGCATAAATTTTTGTTTGTTTTTAAAAGTTATTTTACTGCCTTTTATATAAGTCAAACTTCATGCTTGCCTCAGTGAAAGCATTCAATTCCTATTTATGATTGGATTGTCCTGAAACCTATACAGGGAGGCTCCCAAAAGATATCAAGTCAACATTTCCTTATTTCCCCTCTTTCATTAAAAAAAAAACAAAACAAAATATTTTTAAAAGGAAACAAAAATACCACAATCTCCATTCTGATGTCACCATGCTGAGGCTTGGCAAGTCAAAAGTATAAGGATGAAAAGGCACCACCAATTCGTGCGAGTCGGCTAGGCTTCTCGGTGCTATTCCAGATAGTCAGGAGCCCTGGGTTCCAGCCAAGGTGATCCAGGTCGCTTAGCGGCTCCTATCACCTCACCTGCTTGCTCCCCTTCTCCGAGTTTCCAGTTCTCCATCGTAAATGTGCTCCCTGGCGCAGCCTCCCCTGACACTCAGACATCCACCAATCCATTAGATGCGGGAGGTTTTCCGGAGACACTGTGTCCCTAATGAGCACTGCTTTGTGCAGTCACTGATAGCAGCTCTAGAAAGTGTAACAGCTTTTTTATCTCAAAAGATGTTCCTCCTGCTCTGGCCCTAGGGGAGCCGCCTTCCAGACCTGTCTACCCGGGAGCCCCCACCCCGCGCACTTCCGGGACTTCTCCCGAGACCCGAGAGCGCTGACTTTCCCCCACTCGCAATAGTCCTGAGGGCCCCCTCACTTGCAGCCCCCACCTCCCTGCGGCCAGAGGGTCAGAGGTTCGCGGCCCGGGCAGGCAGCGCCAGCGCCCTTTGGAGCTGGGCGGGGCGGGCAGAGCGGGCACGGCCGGGCGTCGGGGCCACAGGCATTGCACTCTAGCCCTGGCCATGGAGCGGCCGGCATCAGGCGAGGTGCTCATGAGCCAGGCCATCCAGCCGGCGCACGCCACTGCCCGCGGTGAGCTGAGCGCCGGGCAGCTGCTCAAGTGGATCGACACTACCGCCTGCCTGGCGGGTAGGCGGGCGCCGGGGCTGCGGGAGCGGCGGCGGCTGGGGGTGGCGGGGAGGAGGAAGGCGAGGAAGGTACTTGCGGACAGCTGAGCCCTGAGCAGCCAGGGGTAGGGGTGTTGCGACAGTGCGCCCCCGCTGGGCATGGCCGAGACCAATGGTTCCCAAATGTGTGGCTCTCAGGACTCCTTCATTCCATTAAATAAGTGAGGAGCCCAGAGAGCTTTTGCGGGGTTTTTTGTTTGTTTGTTGTTGTTTTTGAGACAAGGTCTCACTCTTGCCCGGGCTGGAGTGCGGTGGTGCCATCAGAGCTCGCTGCAGCCTCGACGCCCTGAGCTAAAGCAATCCTCCCACCTCAGCCTCCAGAGTAACTGGGACCACAGACGCACGCCACCAGGCCCAGCTAATTTGGGGGGTTTTGTTTTGTTTTGCTTTTGTAGAGATGGGGGTCTCACTATGTTGCCCAGGCTGGTCTCAAACTCCTGGACTCAAGGATCCCGAAGTGTTGGGATTACAGGTGTGAGCCACCGCACCCAGCCAGCTTTTGTTTATGTAGGCTATTTATATCACATTTACTGTAACAGAAATTTAAAATTTTTAAATTATTTTTAAAAAAGAAATGGACTACATGTTAACATAACATTTTTAATTAAAGAAATAACTATTTTCCACAAGAACAAAAGTGTAGCTAGAGGAGTGGTGACAGGTTACATCCTGGCGAGTCTCTCTAAAGTCTGGCTAACAGAGGATTGCTGACTTCTCATACCTGCTTCTGCATTCACTGTGCTGCTACCACACCCTTACATAGTCTCTGGAAAACTCCACTGTGTCCTTGTTAGAGAATGACAGTAAAAATGGCAAAAACATTTATTAAGGACTGAATTATGCCCCCCATGCCACCCACCGAAATTTATACATTGAAGTCCTAAGCCCTGGTGTGGCTCTATTTGGAGTGAAGAATTAAGGCTAATGAGGTCATAAGAGTGGAATTCTGGTCCCATACAATTAATGTCCTTATAAGAAGAGACACTGGAGAGCTTCATCTCTCTGCCATGTGAGGCCACAGCAGGAAGACAGCCATCCACAGGCCAGGAAGAGAGCCCTCGCTAGGACCTACACGGGCAAGCACCTCAATCTGGAACCTCCCTGCCTCCACAACTGTGAGAAATCAATGACTTGTTTAAGCCTTTTTTTTTTTTTTTTAAACAGGATTTGAGATTGGTTATATTAAGGTAACAATGGAAGCATGAATACAAAATGAATCCACACGTAGGAAAAAGAAACAATACAGAAACCACTGAGGTTGCTAATAATAATGATGCCTATTTCCAAGGCAACTGAATACATTATGAGACCACTGAAGTGACTTTTAGTTACCTTGTTTAGTGCCTCTGTCTTGTGATGGAGAAACAGTGGCCCACCTGCAGTTGTCATCATTTCTATGACCTGACATCTTTCAAAACCATGGAAAGATCCAACTGACAATCAATTACTCTATACCTTAATAGTTACATTACTATTAGTAGTATAATATTAATCACTGATAATATTACTATTATTAAGAAAACCTGTGTGATAAAGTTGGTTTGGGCAATATGAATAATGCCTGTGTTAAACACTCTGTGGTGACCCGAGGCACCACATAAGCAGGGGACATTATTTAGCCAAGGTGTAATTGAATCTGTATAGTAATACAAAACTGATTTCTCTGGGATTTTTTCAGAGTTTTTTATAGGCCAGGATTATCTTTTTAGCCACATTACTGCAATCCCAGTCATGGCCCCAAGGCATTGCTATGACCCCTAGGCCCTGCTGGATTCCAAAATGTCTTCTCAATATTTAAAGAAAGATGAAATATTCTCACTATCCTCACTTCTGTCTGTGGCCCCATTATTTTTCCAGTTCCTTAAGTCTAAAGGCTTGAAGCCATCTGAGTAATCCTCTATCTCACACGTCCGTGTATTATTTGGAACATCTTACACACACAGTTTTCTATTTGTGAATCTAGTGGCACCCAACTCCTCCAGTTGAGCAAGTCAAAAGTCTAGGAGTCATCCTTGATATCTCTCTCCACCTTACTTCTCCCTTCACATACTCTATGCATGGAGGAAGTCCTATCAGTGTTACCCCCTAAAGGAATCTCTGAAAGCCAAGCACTGTGCTGCACCCCCAATGCGACCATCTAGTCCAAGCTCTCATCATCTTTCATGCAGACTTCAGCAGTGATTTCCAAACCAGTCTCCATTCATTCTGGTCTCCTCTCCACACTGCTTCTAAAGTAACCTTTGAAGATGCTAATCTGATCATGTCATATGTTTTGTTCATTTTTCCCTTTCTTTTCTTCACCAAGGGCTTTAAGGATTTTTCTAACATATTCAAGTGCTTCCTATTAAAAAATCTCCCACAGATAATAATTATAAACTCTGGGCAAAACACTAAATAAAAGAGACTTAAGGCAGGTGAAAAGTGAACAAAAGTAGGCTTAGAACACTTGAAAGTTAACACATGAAAGAACAAAATGATGTTGGCTTTTCCTGTGTTCGTTTTTTAAATGACTTGAAGCCTGAAAAAATGCCAGTCTGGTCCCAGCTATGGTTCTGATGGTAAACCCATAGGCTTCCTGGTTTGAAGAGCCCAAAGACAGGGTTTGGGAAAAGTACAGCTACTGAAATACAAAAGGGAAAGTTCCAGAAAGGAAAGAGCCAGAGAGAGAGAGAGAGCCCTAAAATCTAACTATCATCTTTGTCCAGATATCTGGCAAATCTTGAATCATGTATACTAGGACGTACTCCAGACCTCCTGGTTGAGGCCAAAAGAACTGAAAATAGTTGTGTCCATCTGCAGGTAGACAGATTATAGTTTCAGTTTGGTCAGGTTAACTGCTTGCTTTAAAAAACAAAACCAAAAACAAAACCAACACTTTTCTGAGAAACACAGTTTCTACAATGGATCACTCACAATGGCTAGGATATTATTCAAAATTACTTGACATACAAAGGGAAACATGATTCATTCTTAAGAGAAAAGACAATCAATGGAGATTCATCCCTAGATGACCCTGATGCTGGAATTAAGCTTCAAGGATTTTAAAGCAACTAGTATAACTGTGCTCAAGAATATAATGAAAAATATGATAATAAAGATTGCTGTAATCCCAGCACTTTGGGAGGCTGAGGCGGTTGGATCACTTGAGGTCAGGAGTTTGAGACCAGCCTGGTCAACATGATGAAACCCCATCTCTACTAAAAACACAAAAATTAGCCACGTGTGGTGGCAGGCACCTGTAATCCCAGCTACTCGGGAGGCTGGGGCAGGAGAATCACTTGAATCTGGGAGGTGGAGATTGCAGTGAGCCGAGATTGTACCACTGCACTCCTGCCAGGGCAAAAGAGTGAGACCCCATCTCAAAAGAAAAAAAAATATTGAAAAGGCAGTACCTTTCTGCAGAGTAATAGAAACTATTTTTTGAAAGCCAAATGGTAATTCCAGAACTGAAAAATACAGTGTCTAAAATAACAAACTCAATGACTAGGCTTAACAGCAGAATGGACATGACTGAGAAAAGAGTTAGTAAATGCAAAAATACATCACTAGAAATTATCCAATCTAAGAACAGAAAAAAAAGAATTTTAAAAATAAACAAAGTGTGACCAGGCACAATGGTTCATGCCTGTAATCCTAGCACTTTGGGAGGCTCAGGTAGGAGGATGGTTTGAACCCAGGAACTCAAGACCAGCCTGGGCAACATAGGGAGATCCTGTCTCTACCACACACACACACAAAATGTTAAAATTAGCCAGGCATGGTACCATGTACCTGTAGTCCCAGCTACTCAGGAGGCTGAGGTGGGAGGATGACTTGAGCCTGGGAGGTCGAGGCTGCAGTGAGCCATGATTCCACCACTTTACTCCAGCCTGGGCAACAGAGCAAGACCCTGTCTCAAAAAAAAAAAAAAAAAAGACGTAAATAAAATAAAGTATCAGAGATTTGTGGAAAAATAAAACAAACACAATTAGAGTTCCAAATATGGTGAAAGACATACAATTACAGATTCAAGGTTATAGCACATCAAGAAAAACTAATACAGGCTGGACATGGTGGCTCACACCTTTAATCCCAGCACTTTGGGAGGCCGAGGCAGGCAAATCACCTGAGGTCAGAAGTTCAAGACCAGCCTGGCCAACGTGGTGAAACCCCATCTCTACTAAAAATACAAAAATTAGTTGGGCATGGTGGCACACGCTTGTAATCCCAGCTATTCAGGAGGCTGAGGCAGGAGAATCACTTGAACCCAGGAGGCAGAGGTTGCAGTGAGCCAAGACTGTGCCACCACACTCCAGCCTGGACGACAGAGTGAGACTCTGTCTCCAATTTAAAAAAGAAAGAAAGAAAAACGAATACAAAGAATATATCCAGGCATATCATAGTCAAAATGATTAAGAGAAAATCTTGAATGCAGCCAGACTGAAACACCGTATATAGGAGAACAATAATTAGAATTACCACTGACCTCATCAGAAACAGTGGAGACCAGAGGGCAGTGCAACAATATATTGAAGAATAATAATTACAAAAACTTTCAACCAAGAGCTTCAAGGCCCTGTGCATAGCCTGTCCTCAGCCTTCACTCCAGCCTCATCTCACCCACTCTCCCTCCTACTCTCTGCATTGTAGTCACCAGGACCTTTGTAATTACTGTTCCCTCTGCTCAGCAGGCCCTCCCCTCTGCTGCCCTCAAGCCTTCCTGGACACCCCACCTAGTGTATTATTTCAGTTACTGACTCTCATAAAATCCCTGTTTTCTTCAGAGCACTTAGTCCATTTTGTCATTATATATCTGTATTAGTCCATCTTCATGCTGCTGATAAAGACATATCTGAGACTGGGTAATTTATAAAGAAAAAGAGATTTATTGGACTCGCAGTTCCACGTGGGTGGGGAAGCCTCACAGTCATGGCGGAAGGCGAAAGGCACTTCTTACATGGTGGTGGCAGGAGAGAAAATGAGAACCAAGCAGAAGGGGTTTCCCCTTACAAAACCATCACATCTCATGAGACTTATTCACTATCATGAGAATAGCACAGGAAAGATCCGCCCCCATGATTCAATTATCTCCCACCAGTTCCTTCCCACAACATGTGGGAATTATGGGAGCTACAATTCAAGATGAGGTTTGGGTGGGGACTCAGCCAAACCATATCAATATCCATTTAATTAACCACTGGCTCATCCACTAGACTCCATGAGAGCAGGGGTCCTGGCTGTTTCCCATTGCCAGCACCTTACACAGAGGCTGCCTTGCATAACACAGGTGCTCAATCAATATCTGCTGAAGGAAGGAAGGAGTGAAGGAAGGTTACCACTATTTTTATCAGTCATCATTTCATACTTACTTTACAATCACTTAGCTTCTCTTAGTTCTCCCAGGAAATCAGAAACAGCTTTAGGGTTTTCCACTTCTGCTGGTACACTGTACGAAGGGCAATCAAAAATCAAGAACCAGAACAAGCCACTCCTGTGAGTTCATGTCATCTAATTGACACTTGTTTAAAAACACAGCACGCATGAAATGACATGTGAAGCCAGGACCCTATGGTGTTCTCCATATTTTTGTTTCTTTTAGTTTAATGACCCTTGAAAATCAATAGCATAAATCATGATTATTGAGCTCCTGAAACCCATATTGAGTCACGTGCTTCTCTGGTAGTGTTCTCTGGTTTGTCTAACCTCTTTCCTGAAAGTTCCTATTGCTTTTATAGTCAAAATCACTATTTAGGACAATGCATTTAATCTTTCTAAACCTAAATTTTCTTATTTATAAAAGGGAGCTAATAACAGTACCAACTTCATGTAATTAACATGCTTAAATGACTAGTCCAGTGCCTGATCAATAATAAATGCTTAATAAAAAGTAACTGTCATGATTTTGATACTTTTTGATCCCTTAAGAAACCTTGTGCTATAGATACAGGATACCCAATATAAACAATAAAAGTTTAAATTTTTTTTTTTACTGGTTACTGCATTTTAGTTATCATTTAAGTCATTCACAATTGATAACTCAGCCGGGCATGGGGGCTCACGCCTGTAATTCCAGTGCTTTGAGGGGTCAAGGCGGGAGCATCACTTGAGCCCAGGAGTTTGGGACCAGCTTGGGCCAAATCATGAGAACCTGTCTCTACAAAAAAATATTTTAAACAATTTTTTAAAAGTTAGCTAGCTGTGGTGGCACATGCCTATAGTCCTAGCTACTCAGGAGGCTGAGACAAGATCACTTGAGCCCAGGAGTTCAAGGCTGCAGTGAGTTATGATCATGCCGCTACACTCCAGCCTGGGTGATAGAGACCTCATCTCTTTAAAAAAAAAAGAAAAAAATACTCAAGATACTCATGTTGGTCTATATTATAACACTTTATTACTAAGAATTAATAACCTCAACATCCCATTCCCTCATGTCAAGTAACTGGAATGAATGTTTATTAAGTATTCTTTAATCAATGATTTAAGCATGTATTTGCAAGATTTCAGTAGTTCCCTGGAAAACTTAAGCTCTGAAAGGGTACTGACTATGGCTGGATCTCTAAGTGCTATGGAGTGGACTGCTTAAAAGATAGAGCTCACGCACTGGCTCACGCCTGTAATCCCAGCACTTTGGGAGGCTGAGGTGGGCAGATCACAAGGCCAGGAGATCGAGACCATCCTGGCTAATATGGTGAAACCGTGTCTCTACTAAAAATACAAAAAATTAGCTGGACATGGTGGTGCACGCCTGTAGTCCCAGCTACTCGGGAGGCTGAGGCAGAAGAATCACTTGAACCCGGGAAGGGGAGGTTGCAGTGAGCCAAGATCACACCATTGCACTCCAGCCTGGGTGACAGAGTGAGACTCTGTCTGGAAAAAATAATAATAATAACTCATTCAACTCAGTGTCTGGAAATCAGCAAGAACTTAACAAATGTTTGGTGCATTGAATTAAATTGAGTCCACCTTGAGCCTTCCTACAGCCCAATTCTTCCATATTCCCTTCCTTTCCCTGAACTAGTTGGAAGGATGGTTCCTTCCAGCTAGTAACATTTGAATGTCCAATTTTCTGCAGAATTAGATCCTAGAAAGGAATGTGTTAAATACATGCCCAGTGGAGTATCTCTCATGTCTTCTTACCTAGGACTATCAATTAATACATAGGTAGTTATAATGATCCAGTACACAAAAGGAAGACAAATTCAGTACAATTTACTCGTTTTTCTTAATCATGTGGCACCAGGACTGAAGTCTCCAAAACTAAAATGAGGTCAAAAGTTCTTATAAAGCCAATATAATCTGTTTGGCTTTCAATTGACTGTTTCCCAAAATCAAATCTGGCAGAAGCACATGTCAAAATCTTTCCCACAGAGGATAAATTCTGGTATTTTTAATGTAAAGCAAATCCAGCAATCAAAAAAAAAAAAAAAAAAAATCTGAGCAAATTATGTGCAGACATAGAACATGGAAGTAACCAGGCTTCTTCCTGGACTCTCCCACCCTACGCAATACTCCTCCTTCAAGGCAATTAATGTATGCTGAATTTGGCATACATTTGGTAATAATAAAATAAATATTGACTACATATCTCCTGTGTGCCCATCTCTCTTTCTCTGATACCCAGAGAAGATCCTCTTTGATTTGGGATGACTCGGGGTTTCTCGTACCACTCAGTGCTTACAGTGGTTAAATCATTCACGCAGCGGGGCGCGGTGACTCACGCCTGTAATCCCAGCACTTTGGGAGGCCAAGGCGGGCAGATCACGAGGTCAGGAGATCAAGACCATCCTGGCTAACACGGTGAACTAAAAATACAAAAAAATTAGCCGGGCGAGGTGGCGGCGCCTGTAGTCCCAGCTACTCCGGAGGGTGAGGCAGGAGAATGGTGTGAGCCCGGGAGGCGGAGCTTGCAGTGAGCCGAGATAGCGCCACTGCGCTCCAGCCTGGGTGACAGAGGGAGACTCCGTCAAAAAAAAAAAAAAAAATCATTTAACCTGTGATGCCTTGATTTTAAAACAAGAAGGATAGTACCTGATAAAATATTTAAAGTCAGCACCAACTTACTAAAATTGCTATTTCAATAGCTAGATTTGTGGGATATTGGTATTAAATTTCAAATACAAGATCATGTAAGTTAAAATTTAGGATGAAGTGCAGTAATTACCATGCAGTAGAAACATAACAGAGCAGAGAAGCTTGTATGGAGCCAGTTGATCCACAAATTGTGGGCACAGTGGTGCTATAATGAATGAGGGATGGATGACTAAGATCAATGCACTTACATTTCATTCCTTTCCCTTATACTGAAATATTCTAATATCACCACTAAAGCAGCATGTTTTTATGTATTTTTTGAAGCTGAGAAACATGCTGGAGTTTCCTGTGTTACAGCCTCAGTGGATGACATACAGTTTGAGGAGACAGCTAGGTAAGTGACATTGCTCCATCACTCCTTTCTCCTAGGTTTGTTGGTTCATCTGGGACGTGTATTGGTGGCACCTGAGCTTACTCATGCAGAGGTAGTGATCTTGTTTCTTAATAAAATAAATAACATGTGACCCAATTTAAGTAAAAAAATAATCACAGGGCCTACTTATAAGAAACACTCCTAAGTGTAACTTCAGTCTTAATTTTGTGGAGAAATAGTTCTCAGCCTGAGATGCATTGTGGCATAAGGCATAACAGCCAAACAGACTTTCTGCAGGCTCCTTTTTTTAATTGTCTCACTCTGCTGCCCAGACTGGAGTGCAGTAATGCGATCTCGGCTCACTGCAACCTATTCCTCCTGGGCTCAAGTGATCCTCCTGTCTTAGCCTCCCAAGTAGCTGGGACTACAGGCACGTGCCACCATGCCCACCTGGCTAATATTTTTTTTTTTTGTAGAGACAGGGTTTCATCATCTTGTCCAGGCTGATCTCAAACTCCTGGGCTCAAACGGTCCACCCACTGGCTTCCCAAAGTGTCAGGATTACAGGCGTGAGCCACCATGCCTGGCCACTATAAGCTAATTATTAATGTCCCCTTCCTGTACTAGAAGAATAACTAATGATAATAAGATCTTTATGATGGTGAATTTCATCATTAGGTTGTTAGGTAAACACTAATTCATCTAAGTAGAGAGAGTAAATTATGAAAAACATTTTATGTGTGAAAGTTCTTAACCATCTCTTATTGTAGAAAATTTCAAGATACACAAACATTTCAAACGTACTTATTTAGGTTGGTAATTGTGAAAACCGCAATTACTTTTGCACCAACCTGTAAAACAAGAGAGGATAGTACAGTGTATCCCGAGGACTCCTCACCCCCAGCTATAGCAATTATCAACTCACAGACACTCTTGCTTTATCAATACCTCTCTATACTCCCCCATATGCCTGGATTGTTTTGAGGAAAATCCCAAGCATCATCTATATACAGTCATGCATCACTTAATGATGGGATATGTTCTGAGAAATGCATCCCTAATGACTTCATCCTTGTATGAACATCATAGAGTGTACTTACACAACCTCAACAGTACAGCCTCTTACACACCTAGGGTATGTGGTGTAGCCTATTGTTCCTAGGCTACAAACCTGTGCAGCCTGTTACTGTACTGAAAATTGTAGGCAATTGTAATACCGTGGTGACTATTTGTGTGTCTAAACATGGCTAAACATTAAAAAGATACAGTAAAATACAGTATAAAAGATTAAAAAATGGTACATCTGGCCAGGCGCGGTGGCTCACGCCTGTAATTCCAGCACTTTGGGAGGCCGAGGTGGATGGATCACCTGAGGTCAGGAGTTTAAAACCAGCCTGGCCAACGTGAAACCCCATCTCTACTAAAAGTACAAAAATTAGCCAGGTGTGGTGGTGGGCGCCTTTAATCCCAGCTACTTAGGAGGCTGAGGCAGGAGAATAACTTGAACCCAGGAGGCAGAGGTTGCAGTGAGCCCAGATCACACCATTACACTCCAGCCTGTGTGACAAGAGCGAGACTCCGTCTCACAAAAAAAAAAAAGGTACACCTGTATAGGACACTTACCATGAATGGGGCTTAGAAGGCTGGAAGTTGCTCTGTGTGAGTCAGTGAGTGAGTGCTGAGCAATGTGAAGGCCCCAGACGTTACTGTACACTACCATAGATTTATAAACACCACACACTTAGGCTACACCAAATTTATAAAATATTCTTTCTTTAATTATAAATTAACTTTAGATTACTGTAATGTTTTTACTTTATAAACCTAAAAAAATCTTGTTGATTCTTTTGTAATAATACTGAGCTTAAAACACAAGCCTTTTATAGAGCTGTACAAAAATATTTTTCTTTATGTCCTTACCTTATTCTATAAGCTATTTTCTATTTTTAAAATTGGTTGTTAAAAACTGTGACACAAACACATACATTAGCTTAGGCCTACACAGGGTTGGGATCACCAGTATCACTGTTCTGCTTCCACATCCTGTCTCACTAGAAGGTCTTATGGGATTTATTAAACCAGGATTTAGTATAGGTGATAGGTCTCTTAAGTGTCTTTTAACATAAAATTTTCCCTTCCTTCTTTTATCTTGCAATTTATTTTTTAAAGAAACCTGGTCATTTGCTTTATAGAATTTACACATTCTGTATTTGCTCATGTAGCTTTCTTGTATTCTGACAGTTACATCTAAAAATTGACATGATGAAAGTTTGATTTTTTTTTTTTCTTTGAGATGGAGTCTTGCTCTGTCACCCAGGCTGGAGTGCAATGGCGCGATCTTGACTCACTACAACCCGGGTTCAAGCGATTCTCCTGCCTCAGCCTCCCAAGTAGCTGGGACTATAGGCCCCTGCTACCACGCCCTGATAATGTTTGCATTTTTAGTAGAGACGGGGCTTTGCCATGTTGGCCAGGCTCAAACTCCTGACCTCAGGTGATCCACAGTGCTGGGATTACAGGCGCCTGCCACCACGCCCAGCTGATGAAGGTTTGATATTTTCGTAAAAATTTCTCATGTCAAGGCCATATAATATCTAATGATCATAGGCTACAACCATTCTGTCATTAGATATTGGTAACATGATAATATGCTAATTCTACCATTTCTTCTTCATTTGTTTTCTAAAATACTTCTCTAGAGGGAAACTCACTAATGACCTGAGTATCCTGAGGAAAAGTTTGTCCAGGAAAGGCTTGACTCTTTCCCTTTATTCATTAGGAACGTACAGATTTTCATGTACTTGATGTGTTACAATTCATCAATGTTCTTATTCTTTTTTTTTTTTTGAGACAGAGTTTCACTCTTGTCGCCCAGACTGGAGTTCAATGGCGCGATCTCGGCTCACTGCAACCTCTGCCTCCTAGGTTCAAGCAATTCTTCTTCCTCAGCCTCCCGAAGTAGCTGGGATTACAGGTGCCCGCCACCAGGCCCAGCTAATTTTTTTATATTTTTAGGAGAGATGGGGTTTCACCGTGTTGGCCAGGCTGTTCTCAAGCTCCTGACCTCAGGTGATCCACCTGCCTTGGCCTCCCAAAGTGTTGGGATTACAGGTGTGAGCCACTGGGCCTGTGCAATGTTATTATTCTTACAGAAACTCAGACTGCCGCGTCTTTGCGCAGTGGGAGCTTCTTCAGTTTAATCCCTAAGTCCCTTGAACAACAGCCCAAAGTTAAAGATGTTTAGTAACTCCTTGGCCTTCTGCTATAAAATGTTTCAGGCTCATCTTTTACATTTTCCCCCCACAAACTTAGAATCCGTTACTTCTCCAAGGAGTCCTGATTCCTTGCAGTAGACATGAGAAGCAGAGACCACAACCTGGGCAGGAAAGGTGCTCCTCACATCAAAATGGGCATTAGTTCTCGGCCTTTTCAGTGGACGGAATTAGAAATTATGTATTTTTAAAGCATTTATATTAATAATCTGTAATCATTTAGGGTTATATGGTTTTACTTAATTTCTTTGATTTTGTGTCTATATCTCTGGTTTTTAATTTTATTTTATGCTGAATGTCTTGATATTTAAAGACATAAACTTATTTGATTCAGATTAATACGTATATACACATTAATTAGATTCAGAATAGCGGTACCAATATTATCACTAACAAATGAATAGAGAAAGTAGTTTAAGATTATTTATGAAGTTTCTTTCTCAAACTATATCTCATCTGGTACAGTCAAGTCACTGTATTTTGAAGTCACTTGAAATAATCCTTTTCCATGTGGTTAAGCTGCTGACTTCATACATTCTTAAGTTCATTTGTTTAATTTGCTTTTTTATTTTGTAGGAATGACTTTTCTTTTCATTTAATTTTGTTTTATAGTTTAAAATATCTACAGGTACCAGAGTCCAATCTGGAAAATAGACCCATTTCACCCCGGGGAATCTGGCTCCTCCCTACCTTCTATCTAGGCCCCTCCCTCTCCCTCTATGTAACCATTTTATTTATTTTGTGGCTTATCTTTCTTTTTTTAATGTAAAGAAATATTTTTATATATCCTCACTTTTTTCACTTAAAATAAAAATGAGGTGGAGAAAAGTATATATAGTGTATACAGTATACGCTGTAAAAGTATACAGTATTTCTATCTAGAAAATCACTCCATACCAATATGCAGTCATATGCTGCATAGCAGTATTTTGGTCAGTGACAGCAGTCCCATAAGATTTTAATACTGGCCATGTGTGGGAGCTCACACCGGTAATCCTTGCACTTTGGAAGGCTGAAGTGGGTGGATCAGCTGAGGTCAAGAGTTTGAGACCAGCCTGGCCAGCATGATGAAACCCCATCTCTATGAAAAATACAAAAAATTAGCTGGGCGTGATGGCACGCGCTTGTAATCCCAGCTACTCAGGAGGCTGAGGCAGGAGAATCACTTGAACCCAGGAGATGGAGGTCGCAGTGAGCCAAGATTGCACCACTGCACTCCAGCCTGGGCAACGAGAACAAAACTCCATCTCAAAAAAAAAAAAAAAAAAAAAAAAGATTTTAATACTGCATTTTTACTGCATCTTTTCTACATTTAGCTATGTTTGGATACACGAATACTTACCACTGTTTACGGTTGCCGACAGTATTCAGCACAGTAACATCCTCTACAGGTTTGTGGCCTGGGAGCAATAGACTAGACCATATAGCCTAGGTGTGTAGGAGGCTATACCATCTAGGTTAGTGTGGGTGCACTCTATGATGTTTCCACAACAACAGAATCACCTAATGAAGCATTTCTCAGAACACATCCCTGTCATTAAACTAGGCATAACTATAAGTAGATATTCATCATTCCTTTTAATATCTACATAGTACTCCATTGTGGAAGCACACTACATTATTCAACTGGTCCTCCACTGATGAACATTTAGATTATTTCCAGTCTTTTGCTATTACAAATAATATTTCAATTTGCAGTCTTGTGCAGATGTCTGTTTGTATTTTTGCCAGTATATTTGTAGGATAGAT